TTTGTTTACTACAAAAAAACAGGGTCTCTTATTAACAAACCAGACAAAATATAACATAAGTGATAAAGTGATAAAAAATCCTCATAGGATGATGATGTCCTTTTCAGTTTTTATATATTGAATTGTACAGGGAGAGTTGTAACATATTTCACGAATTACCTGGAGACATTTTTAATCCTGGTCATGCAGGATTTGTCTTCTCGAGCTTCTCCGCACTTTAGAACTACGACGGTCTGTGGGAGTTTCTGTAGCGCTTCTAGGTTTTTATCTAACGCGCCTCCTACAGGAAAATCCACTTGCTCCTTGTGTTGTACAAAAATTATTTTTTAGAAAATGTATTTAAATAAATAATCAGTCATGACAAATACGAACTGATTCAAGCGCGTCAAATCCGATATTATTCAGAATTTTTTATTAAAATATTTTATATAATAAATAATAAAATATTCGTAATATTGACAGTAGTAAATATCTGCTCAGCTATATCTGCTAAATATTCCTGCTCAGTTTTTAATAAAATGTGAACTGCTGCACAGTATCAGTATATGGATTTAAGCAAATGAAATGTGATGTTATGCTGATGTTTATTTAATAAGAGCTATTTTATGTAATAAATAATAAAAGCATTTATGTAATACAATTGATGATGTAAAAATTATGTAATTATTTTTTGAAGCAGCTTACACATTGTTATAGTAAGTCCTGTTGTAAATATTAACATGTCCATTTATGTTGGCGTTCAAATCAATTTTTTTTTTGTTTTCATTTAACAATTTCAAAAATAAATAAGACCCCGAAAAAAAAAAAAAACTTTCCATCAGCTAAAATATTTCAGGTAAAAATTGTGTTTTTTTATTAAGTATACTTTACTTTTGTCACATTTTTTCCCAAGCTGACCAAAAAAACATCATATATTTAATTGTCAAAACACTCAAAAGTTGACCTAACAGCCTAACTGTTGTCATATACGAGATAAAGATGATTTTAAAAATAGTTCACAGCACATGATGAGAATAAATTTATTGCAAACTCAATATATCTGACAGCAATGACATATACAGTTTATTTGTAATCAACACAAACATCAAACAAATTGTCACCATCTCTCCAATATCTTAATAGTGTTTTATTGCAAACTAAAACCAACTCATTAATGAATAAGCAGAGAGTAAAGCACCTGTTAGTTTAGATTACACATCATCTCATCCTCAATCTGTGCTGCTTGTTCCACTCTTTTCAGATGGGCTGTCCTGTACTTCCTTTTCATGTCCTTCAGTAGAGTCAGTGCTTCCTTGTATTCTCTCTTACAAATGCCATTCCCTCCTTCGAGTAAACTATCTGGATAGAGAATATATAAAGTTGCATTTAATACCATTCTATGAGCAATGATGTGATTAATATCAGAAATATCTATTCATATTAGTTTGAATAGTAGTTTGGAGGTTTCCCTAGATGGCATATCTACAATCAGTCCATTGAAGAGGGACAGAGAGAAACAGCTGCAGAGCCAAATAGAGCATTTCAAAGTAAACTGTGCTGAACAATCGCTATGACATCTCTGCAGTGTGCTTGTTAGATGACCTGTAAAACATGCTAGTTTGTGCTAGTTGATGATGAAATTTATTTGCTGCGCAATTGGAAAATATTTCCTGCTGCATCACTAGGCTTGACTTGTTTAATTACACTGGATTCCATCTTGGTTTTGTCATTTAAAAAAATAAGTGACTAAGAATATTTCAAACCCTGCTATAAAATGACAAAGTATCTATTACCTAAGGGAACTTTGATTATTGTTTTTGCCTCCTTTATTTGGGCGAGAAGTTCCTCAACTTTTTTTCCCTTGGACTTCTTTGGTCCCAAAGGTGGCAAATTTTTAATCTGTAAAAAGAATGTCTCTATCATGTTATTAATAACAGATGTTGGGTTTACATGCTAAATGCACTGTATATAGCTGATGAATGACCTCTGACCTTTTTCTCTCTTTTGGTGTACGGCTTCTGTGGAAGGTCAAGATTTGCTTTAGAATCTCTATACACGAGCAGGTTCTTGAGCATGTGCTCCAAAACACTAACAGCTTGTTGAATTCCTGCATCCAGAGAAGTCAATGACAACACGAACAAACAAACAGCACTGATTCAAATGAAGCAAGAGGTCAACAACAGAGTTCAGGAAAATTCCTACCAGAAAGCTCAGGCATTTCTGGCTCAGATGTGTCATCAAGTAAGCTTTCATAACCAATCAGTTTTTCTGGACATGCCTTGCCGCCTTTTTTCATCTCCAGTTCGGTTTCCCTTGCATCATCTGGATCTTCTTGGTATTCAGATTCATTTAAGCCAATAACCTGGAAAATGTAATCAAACAAAAAAAAGTTTTCAAACACATATCATACAAGTCTTGATATGTAGACTCCAAGGTTCAAGGTGCAATAAAATTACCTCTGTCACAAAGAACGGCTCTGCATTTTGATTCGTCTCAAAGGATATGTCTGCACTTGTCAAGTCAAAATGCTCCTGGCCTATGGCAATGTCTTCCTCGTCGTCAATGCTTGTTTGAGACGAGAAGCCAAATACATGAGTTAACGCATACTCTAAGGGTAGAGGATTATCTTGTCCAGTACATTTCGTGGAGCAGAGCGTTTCTGTAGCATGTTGATTTGCCGTGATCGAAGGACATTTTGGTACGTTTGGAACTGCAGATTTGACCTGAAAATTTAAATAGAAGGTAAATCGCTTCTGAAAGGATTAACTTAAAAAAAAATATTAAGTGCCAAATCCAAACTTGTGTATTTGTGACACCTTTCTTTTAGGACTGACAGGGAGTATGATATGTCGCTTAATCAGATCAGTTGTTTTTTTGCGTGTTATCTTAATACCCAGCTTGTCTTGAAGAAAACAGGTCAGCATTAGTGGATCGCCTGTAGTAAAAAAAACAAAGAAAGCTGTGCATTTTTGTCAGATTTAGTTGATTTAATGCACTAACAATGAGCCTGCCTGAGGATTGTGTGAGCTTACCACTCCTCTGTGTTGTCAAAGGGTTTGAGTTAATAACAAGCTCATTGAGCTTTGGAAACAATGCCACGGGCAACAATGCCTCTTCCTTAGCTATCTAGAGGAAAAAATTGGCAAATAGCTCTGCTGTCAATGACTTCATTCGGCTGTCTATGTTTGTAGCAAATCAAATGCTTTTTCACAGCTAGAAGGCAATACACAGACCTCATTGTTGGCCAAATTCAGATGACGAAGTTCTGGAAAAGGTAGACAGAGACCCAGAGCGCATCCGTCCTCCTTTCTCTGATGACAGTATTGT